TTACCGTAGACCCGTACTAGGGACATAAGGTGTTACCGTAGTCCCGTACTAGGGACACAAAGTGTTACCGTAGACCTGTACTAGGGACATGAGGTGTTACCGTAGTCCCGTACTAGGGACACAAGGTGTTACCGTAGACCCGTACTAGGGACACAAGGTGTTACCGTAGACCCGTACTAGGGACACAAGGTGTTACCGTAGACCCGTACTAGGGACACAAGGTGTTACCGTAGACCCGTACTAGGGACACAAGGTGTTACCGTAGACCCGTACTAGGGACACAAGGTGTTACCGTGGACCCGTACTAGGGACACAAGGTGTTACCGTAGTCCCGTACTAGGGACACAAGGTGTTACCGTAGACCCGTACTAGGGACACAAGGTGTTACCGTAGACCCGTACTAGGGACACAAGGTGTTACCGTGGACCCGTACTAGGGACACAAGATGTTACCGTAGACCCGTACTAGGGACACAAGGTATTACCGTAGTCCCGTACTAGGGACACAAGGTGTTACCGTAGACCCGTACTAGGACAAATTCCAATTACTCCGTTATGGAAAACTGGAGGAGATAATTACTAGAACAGAGTATACTACTGACTCCGGCCATACAATAGAGCGGAAAAATAATGTAAGGGACCTGGGAGTAGTAATGTCTGAGGATCTCACTTTCAAGGATCACAACAGTGCCACGATCGCACGTGCAAAGAAAATGATAGGATGGATAATGAGAACTTTCAAAACGAGAGATGCCAAGCCCATGATGATCCTTTTCAAATCACTTGTTCTCTCTAGGCTGGAATACTGCTGTACATTAACATCTCCATACAAAGCAGGTGAAATCGCAGATCTAGAGAGTGTACAGAGATCCTTTACTGCACGTATAAGTTCTGTCAAGCACCTTAACTACTGGGAACGCTTGGAAGCACTTGACTTGTACTCGTTGGAACGCAGGAGGGAGAGATATATCATAATCTACACTTGGAAAATCTTGGAAGGAATGGTCCCAAATCTGCACACAGAAATCACTCCCTACGAAAGTAAAAGACTGGGCAGGCGATGCAAAATGCCGCCAATAAAAAGTAGGGGCGCCATTGGTACACTAAGAGAAAACACCATAAGTGTCCGGGGCCCAAAACTGTTCAACAGCCTCCCATCAAGCATTAGGGGAATTGCCAATAAACCCCTGGCTGCCTTCAAGAGAGAGCTGGACAGATACCTAAAGTCGGTGCCGGATCAGCCGGGCTGTGGCTCGTACGTCGGACTGCGTGCGGCCAGCAGTAACAGCCTAGTTGATCAGGCCCTGATCCATCGGGAGGCCTGGTCGTGGACCGGGCCGCGGGGGCGTTGATCCCCGGAATAACCTCCAGGTAACCTCCAGGTAGGGACACAAGGTGTTACCGTAGTCCCGTACTAGGGACACAAGGTGTTACCGTAGACCTGTACTAGAGACATAAGGTATTACCGTAGTCCCGTACTAGGGACACAAGGTGTTACCGTAGACCCGTACTAGGGACACAAGGTGTTACCGTGGACCCGTACTAGGGACAGAAGATGTTACCGTAAGCCTCGCAAGGGTCTCAGGTTAATATTATTGCAATAGGTGGTGTGTAATAAAGTTGGTAGAATTACCGACAATATGTAAAGTAAAAGGACACAAGTGCAACTAATGTGACATTTTATTGTGGCAACGTTTCGCTCTCCAGGAGCTTTATCAAGCCATTACAAACAATACATGGACACAGAGGGTATATAAAGGCTCAGAGTGAGGTGCAATACTAGTGAGGTACCATTTCGATGTTCACTAGTGGTAGTAGTAGTAGTAGTAGTAGTAGTAGTAGTAGTAGTAGTAGTAGTAGTAGTAGTAGTAGTAGTAGTAGTAGTAGTAGTAGTAGTGGTAGTGACAAAAGTAATACAATATGGTAGAGCAATTAATTCGTACATGAGTAAAAGGATATAAAAGCTATTACTTGGGTAACATAAAAATAGGTTGGACAAATATAGACTGGAAAGAGGCAGCTTGTTTCAGTGTTCACCTCCATCCATCGGCTTCGTTTGGGCTTTCCCACAGCCAAGATGATGGTAGACAAGGCTGAGGAGATGTGCCAGTACTGTCAGCACGTTGTCCAGCGGCCCCTAACACACTATCTTCTGGAGTGCGAAGTTACTGAGACACTCCGCAGGCAACTAGGAGTGATATTCCCTCCCGAAGAGGACCCAGAGATCACTGCGGCCACACTAGTGTACCATGGAGTCAACGAACCAGACAAGCTGTTACCACTGATAACGACATATCCTCCTCCTCGCTAGTGTCCACAGTTAGGAGTACATATGGTGTTGTCGCTTATGAGATGCACCAGTTGAACTGACCAGAAGAGTGCTTGAGCAGCATACGTCGCATCATTGTAGAAACCTTTCTCCCTCGGGAGCCAGAGACGGGTCATCGCAAGATTGAGACCCGTGCCAGGACTACGGTCTTGGCGAACATTATGCATACATACATCCTGCTCGTTAGTGTGACTTTGTAAATGGTCCAAGTCGGACCGAAACGTCGTCGTAAGCTCCTCTCTTCTATGTGCGGGTTATTTGTGTATTATATGTATGCAAGGGATAGACTGCATCTTTCTGGTTCATAGGTGACAGCGTTATCCCACTCGGTCGAAGGAGTCGTTGCTGAGCTCGATAAGACTTGAAACTAATAGAAGATATAGGTATGAGTGTATGTGAGGAAGAAAGTATTTGAAGTACCAATGACCGAAAGAGTAAAAATTGTCAAGATATTAACAGAAAGCCGTTCAGGAAACGGTATAGCTCATAAAACAGTTACTAAAAAAACAAGGGAATTGGTTCGCAAAAAAGAAACAGAAGAGGGTGGCGAGTGATTAACTCCCTTAACGTCTATTATCTTGACAGTAGGAGAGCCAGAAATAAAATAAACGAACTAAGGATAATTGCATGCTCAGGAAATAGATGTACTGGCAATAATAATACAGATTCATTGGAAAAAATAAAGGCATGCGTGCTAAATACCACATACAACAGCAGAAATTATGGCTCACTTAATTAAAGCGTCAACATAAAAGGAGACAGAGTTTAGATTTATGTCAAGGGAAACTTCTAAACTCTTGTATGAAAAATTACATAAAGACAGATGGGAATCTATATGGCTGCAGTTTCTCGAGGACGTGAAAAGTTAATTTTAGATGTAGTGCACTGACTTCCGATCCTTGACGGTGACAACTGTGAACTTCTTTTGGGAGGAAACTGATAAGGCATTAAGATACGTCAATGTTCTTCTAATGGAAGAATTTAACTTTAGCTAAACTGTTTTGAAAAATCTGAGAGGAAGTCTAGAGTTTAGCAACTTTCTAGAAACAATCCAGAATTGTTTTATATAACAGTGTGACAATGCCAGCTAGCAGAAATAACCTGCTCGAGTCGGTGTTGGCAAACAAGAAATCTAGGTGAGTAAATATGACACAAAATGTGGGTTATGGCATTCTATTGCGAAGACGTTTTATCCACACGGACATTATCAATAAACACACAGAACAAGATATGAGTTTTTATATAGGTTGTCGAGAGGTTCTAGAAGAATGAGGTTATTTAGTCACGTGTGAGTAGCCAGCCTGGTCGCTGTGTCAGGTATTAGGAAGATAAACCTTGCAAAAACGTCGGAGATCATCCGTGATTCTGAACACTGATTGATATTCGCTGTGACAATAACTACGGATTCGAGACATAATCCGCTGCAACAGTACAGTAGACTATACCGTTTCCGAAGACACAGTATAGTCTACTATTTTATAATCATGGAATCTCTGATATAAAGTCTTGAGGTTAATAAAGAGCGTGGCAGCGATCACACATCAGTTTCAGTATATCATGGAATTATCTGAATAATGATAAAGTCACTGTTCCTGACTTTCGTGTTGCAGACTACACAGCTCCTCGATTATTACCCGAGTAACGTAGACTAAGATGACATTACTGCCTAGCGGGGGCCAGTGGGCCTGTCGCAGCCCTCGCTATACTTTTGTTTGTGCTTTTATGTCCTTATTTTGTTTGCTTACAATGTCATTTCTAAATAAACTATACTATGACTGTGTCTTTGAGAACCCCTTGAGGGGCAGCCTATACTGTATAATAATAATAATTCTGCATATTGTATGTAGAATATGCATAATAATAAAAACTGAATACATTTGAGACGGTGAGTAAGACATGTCCATCAGTTGGTTATCTTTATAGCTGAGACGTTTTGCCTACACGATAGTCCTCTTCACTCAATTACAGAGAAGAATAAAATAAATGTGGAGACAGCAGCAGTAATGTCGAGAAAAAGATGTAGTCAGCCCATCAACCTTGAAGAATGGTAAAAGAACACAACTGTAATTAATGTGACATTTTATTGTGGCAACGTTTCGCTCTCCAGGAGCTTTGTCAAGCCATTACGTAGAGCGAAACGTTGCCACAATAAAATGTCATATTAGTTGCACTTGTGTCCTTTTACTTAACATATTGTCGGTAATTCTACCAGCATTAATACAACCTTGAAAAATTCTTCAGGTGGTCAGTCCCTCAGGGTGGAGAAGAGTTCACCTCCATAGTCTGGAACAAGGTGATGCTTGGCGTCCTCTTTTGTTACGTCTCATCCTCGGCAGTAAAAAAACTTCATTCTCATGTTTCACCTTGTTCCAGACTATGGAGGTGGACTCTTCTCCAGACTGAAGGACTGACCACCTTAAGAACTCCTTTTAGGAAGATGGGCTGACTGCACATCATCTTTATATATCGCCACTACTTCTGCTGCCTCTATATTCGTTCTTCTCTGTATTTCAGTAAAGAGGCCTACCGTGTAGGTGACTGAATGAGACGGCCAGTGTATTAAATTATTATTATTGTTGTTGTTGTTGTTATTATTATTATTATTATGATTATTATTATTATTATCATTTTAGTGGTTGTTCGAATGTTATAAAGGCGAGTGGTGTTCACAGGATGGGGTCTGGCTGGGCCGTAGCGGTGACGGTGGTGGGGAGTGTCAGCATAGCCGGCCTACTGGCACTCCTGGCCCGCTACCTAGGCCTATGGACCTGGGCCCTGGCCTACCTCAGGGCCGCCAGAGAGGAGAAGGTCAAGCTCTGTCGGTCCCAGCGAACCACCAGCACCCGCAGCTACCTGGTAAGTCTGGCACTACCGTCAAGTATTTTCTAATAATTTATTTAAACTAACACCCACTGTTGTCAAATGACTTTGAACTTCCATTATTCAGTCAGAAGATTTTGAACTTCCACCCACTATTGCACAGGGACTTTGAGCTACCTCCCCCTGATGTCCACTGACTTCAAACTGCCTTTCATTGCTCTCGAATGATATTCTGCTAAAATATTGTTACAAAAAACGCGATTCTAAAAGCTTAGAGATCTCCAGTGAATACTAGAAAGGACTGCCCTTCTAGCATCCAGCCTGTTACTGGGTTTTCGTAACAAGTAGTCAGTATCCTTGTCCAATTATCCATTAAAATTCAGTATGTTTCAATAGTGCTTTAGGATTACAACTGGTAGGCTACTAACTAGAGAAATTAAAATTTAATAAATTTATTAAGTCTATAAGTTGTCTAGAGGTATATTATCAAAGTAAATTAAATCACAGCAATCAAAATAAAATCAATCTCTCGAGTTCAATATTATTGTGCTGAAAGCACATATCACATTTATAATTCTTAAGTACCGTCAGGTACATTAACATTTAATAAGATATTACAAATATGTACAAGTAAGTGTGTGTATGCGTGTAAGTGCTCTTAAGTAGTTAGCTATGTCTCAAGACTCGAATAAGACTTAAACAAGTGACTGACAAAGTCCTCAAATAAACTAACTTCTTGACCGACTGGCAACCCGAACAGTCTGCTTGAACAACAAAGAATGCTAAGCCCAATAGCAATGCAATATCAAGCGACTGCGACACAGAATCAGGAACTGGGAAATAATATAACGACACTAAGTAGGGACCATCAGCAGATCCTCCACAAAAGTTACAAAACTCCCATACTACTGAATCTATGTTCAGCATAGGTAAAACTGTGACTGTGACAATACACAGGAACCAGTACAAAATTAGGTCAGAAGCTATAGCTAAGGACCTGAGATATTCAGAGTGTCTATGTGACACAAAACCTCAGTACAACGTCGAAAATCACTAAGTCTATACAATGTTCTGTGAACAAAGTTCTACAGAACTAACAAGAATAATGAGACAGACAATCTGTCCAACCAGCAAGTGAGTCTACAGCAGACCGAATACTTTACGAGAGGTGAGGACACCCCCCCCCTCGATCACGTGATAGCTCCGTGGACAAGTGCAGCTCAGAAGCCGGCAGTATAACGAGCGACAAGCGATAATTACAGTAGTTTGACAATCAAGACTAACTGAGCACATTTGATATATATATCCTAACAACATAAGCTAAATAACAATATAACAGTCAAATAATAATATAAAGTCATACATTTGCGATTTAGCTATTATCGCAAATATAAGCAATATAAAATTATATGAAAAGATAATATACATTACATATATACATAATAATCATTGTAACCCATTCAGGGGTTGCAACAAATATACTGTTCTCAACATACGTAAATACCATATACAGCTTTCAAATGATGTCTAAGTGCTATTTACATCTTAAAAATACGTTATATACAGAGAGATTTATACAGAGAATGATCACTGTAAAAAATATTCGAACCTACATGTGAGGAGTGACAGCTCCCCAAGCGACGCCATAGACCACTAAGCTACATATGTCACAAAAAAAACTAGGTAGCCTGGTTCCTAGCCCTGGGCACACCAGTGAGCTTCAGGCATAGTTTCCAGCAATTTCATTCTATTTCTGTATGTTCTGACCGCACGAGCGATTTTATATCAGTGCACCACGCACAAACAACTGCAATCTTTCTTTGTGTATATTCCTTCGGTTGTTTCCACGTGGTGCATTGATTTAAAGTCGCTTGTGTGGTCAGAACATACAGGAAGAAAATGAAATAGCTGGAAACCATGCTTGAGGCTCACTTGTGTGTCCAGGGATAGGAAAAAAACATGGCTTGTAACCAGGCTACTTAGCGTTTTGAGGCACTTGTAGCTTAGTGATCTAAGGCGTCACTTGGAGAGCTATGCCACTCCTCTGAAACTAATACTGTCAAATGATTTCTGGCACCTATCTAATGTTCTCAAAATACTTTTATCATGTAATGCTCTCACAAATTACTTCTAACTGCCATCTACTGCTCTCAGCTGACTTGAATTCTAAGTATTTTCTACAGTTCATTAGTTACTTCTCTCACATTCATTTACCATTCACTGCTCTTTAATGACTTCCAACTACAATAATGTTAAATGACTGAAGGCTTAATCAGCCCTGTAACAACTTCAGACAGTTGTTACCAAGGCTGGCTCCTCCTCAGGAAAATTTATGAATAGAAAAAGAAATAGTAATTCACAAAGATAAACACTATTATTTATTAATGCAAAGATAAAACAGTGAAACATGAAGGTGTATCCTATTTGAAAGAAAAATGAAAAGAAAAAATGACATTTAAATTCAACGCTATGTACAATTATACTGGGGTGTCTGGTGGAGGTTGACACTGTCTTGTAGAAATTGTAGCCGTTACTGATGATGTTGGGGGGGGGGTCACAGGTGTTGGTGACAACCCAACGACTAGTTCTTCACAGAGTCTATAGCCTTGAATAGTCAGTCCAGATGACAGGAAAGCAGGTTCTTTACCACTACAAAGATGAGGGGTTGTTGTCTGCTGTCGCCTACAGTTAATCAGGTAGGTAGATCAAAAAGTGACGTCTCCGGACTTTTGCAAAAGTCCTTCTCCTTCAAAACTTCTCGTTGGTTGGCAGGTGACCCGATCTGTCATTCCAAGCTGGAAAGAGAGACAGGTTACCCACTGCTTAAGAAATCACTCTCCATGATAAGTACAATACCTAAAAGACGTGGTGATTATCAAAACATCTAACATGGAGATCAAGGCTGAAAGGACTAAGTTTATTATTGGTCAAAAGTGAAGCTTTCAACCAATAAGTCCACTAGAATAGGAGCAGGCTTCTACTTACAGTTGTGCTGGGAGCTGCGAGTCGAGTGATTACTGTTTGGCCGGAGCCCCACACGTCACCTTTCGGGGTGGGGAGAAAGGGGGGAGAGGGGATAGCGGGAGCTAGACTGACCCTACCTTAACAAGCAGCCGGCAATCAAACTATCGTTACCATATACTCGCTCGCTACTCCTATCTGTTGAACTTTTCCCTCACAATGACCTTCGTTTAAGATGTATTACTCCCAAACAGTGTCCACTGATATCCACTATTTTCAAACATTCACAGCTTCTTTCTATGATTCCCAAATGACTTTCAACCGTTATCTTTAGTCTCAGTTATTACAAAATTCTTGTAAAGGACATCCACCCATTGGCTTCCAAACTATTTACATTAGTGTTATCGAAGAAGAAAAGTTATCGTTTTGATATTTATTATCTTTTAAGAACTGTAATTATCATTTCATCGAGTCTGTGGTAAACAATGCACTCATTATAAGACAAAAAAAAATCTTAGGTCTAACCCTTAACAGAAATTCAGATTCAACACACTCATCCAGTACCAAAACTCAGCACTTAGAAGAGAAAGCTTATGACGGCATGTCGGTCGGTCCTAGACCATTGTTAATTCACAACTTCTATGACATGATGGTCCAAGTCCGACCGAAGTGTTATATTGTGGTTCCTCTCCAAAGTGCGGGTTTTGTGGAAAATGTTTCAGCCACGGCACAGTGAATTTTTCTTGACAGCGGGCTACAGAAGTCCACAAATCAGCGATATCCGATAGCCACACACGGGTTGTTGATTCCCTACTTTCGTCACCCAGGGAGAGACACCTAGCTTACGACCCAGCTACTTGCCCTTTCAACAATCTAGGAGCTCCTAACTACCGAACAAGTACCTTAACAATCCTTACTGTCTCCTTCCGGCAGTTCGACAACGATACAGACTGGATCGGGCTTTGGCCACGCACGGGTTCGTACAAGCGCTTCACCAACCTGGACGACCCGACGAGCGTAGCTTCCCTGGACGACCCCTCACGACCTCCCGACCCAGACGAACCCGACCTGCCTCCCCAGCCGCTTAGACCAGCACCAGCGCCACCGCCCAGGTCAGCTGCCATCTTCATCACCCTACACACCATATGAAAATCCCACCATATATTCGCCATACTCAGTACTTCATTCATCATAAACCATACACACCATTCATCATAAACCATACACACCATTCATCATAAACCATACATACCATTCATCATAAACCATACACACCATTCATCATAAACCATACACACCATTCATCATAAACCATACATACCATTCATCATAAACCATACACACCATTCATCATAAACCATACACACCATTCATCATAAACCATACATACCATTCATCATAAACCATACACACCATTCATCATAAACCATACATACCATTCATCATAAACCATACACACCATTCATCATAAACCATACATACCATTCATCATAAACCATACACACCATTCATCATAAACCATACACACCATTCATCATAAACCATACATACCATTCATCATAAACCATACACACCATTCATCATAAACCATACACACCATTCATCATAAACCATACACACCATTCATCATAAACCATACACACCATTCATCATAAACCATACACACCATTCATCATAAACCATACACACCATTCATCATAAACCATACACACCATTCATCATAAACCATACACACCATTCATCATAAACCATACACACCATTCATCATAAACCATACACACCATTCATCATAAACCATACATACCATTCATCATAAACCATACACACCATTCATCATAAACCATACATACCATTCATCATAAACCATACACACCATTCATCATAAACCATACATACCATTCATCATAAACCATACACACCATTCATCATAAACCATACATACCATTCATCATAAACCATACACACCATTCATCCACATAAATGAGCAAAACGATACTGCTTCTTATTATATTACAACAGAAAGCGACAACAATGATAATAATAACAATAATAATAATAATTAATGCTGTAATTATAATACTAACTGCAATAAAACAAAATTATAATAATGCCGGTTAGTATTAGATACCTTGCTACAGTGACTCCTCTCTCCTCGTCATCTAGTACAGATCCCTCAAGTGGGGTATTGGTTACCTTGATGCTCATGAAGGACTCACCGTCCAGTTAATCTGAGCTACCTTTTCTGTTCTTTCTGTTCTCAGATGAAATTTGATTATCTTCAAGGCTACCATTTCCCAGGCGCTGTATGTCTCCCTTATGGGGAGAGCTCTTCCCAATGAATTTAATAATAAACATGGTACCGCATGATTGCTTGTCCATCAGCTCCCTACAAGGTTCTCGTCTCTGGACTTCTCATCAATGTCTTGTCCTTCATCGTTTATTCAGATCCTTGTCCATCAGCTTGCTACAAGGTTCCCATCTCTGCCCTTCTCATCAATGTCTTGTCCTTCATCGTTTATTCAGATCCTTGTTCATCAGCTTGCTACAAGGTCCCCGTCTCTGCCCTTCTCATCAACGTCTTGTCTCTCATCGTGTCACCTGTGTCTCGTCTCTCAACGTGTCACCTGTGTCAATATCTTGTCTTTCATTATACCCTAAGTTCCATCAGCTTGTTACATGGTTCCTGTCTCTCCATGTGCGCTTCCCAGGATGGCTGGATGGACGGAGGGTGGGGATGGGTCACCGTCGCCCGCCAGCAGCGTGGGCATGGGTATAGAGACACCGCCCGAACCCTCACGCCCAGCGCCTGTCCTGGACCGTCGGGACTCCTCACGCTCCCTTACTGGACGCATTTCCAGACGAGATTCCAGCAAGGTCTGTATGGACGTATATACTTGCCTCATCGGTGTGTAGATAATGAGTTAGTTTACAAGCCTGTCGACTGACCGTGGGCCATTACGGCTGCATCTAGCTTGTATTCCAATACCAAAACTATTTTAGTCTTTTAAATAGGCATCTAACGCTGATTGTATATACTCTGTACTGAGGTGAATACCTGGCATTTCGTTCTTTTTTTTATTTCAAATAAATATCCGTTCGTTTAAATAAAAAAAAAATTGTACCGTGGGGTTTGTCAGCTTTGTCTTAAATGAAGTGCAAATTTATCCTGAAAGTTTATGTTTAATACAAAAAAATAAGGTTAAACTTCGATCTGTATACAAGAGTAGGATCCAGTGGAGGATTCTGAGCGAGAGTTCTTTTGATTGCAGGAGCTGCTGGGATCGTCACAGCAAAGCAGTCCCAAGCGAGCCTCAACCAACCCCTTCCGAGCTTCTTGGGTCCCTCCTGACGAGACATCAGAGGAGTCTGTGACCCAAAACACCTTCAGTGCAATCACAGGATCCTCGCCCGGGAAACCCGTTGCAACAGGGAGCCAATCAATAGAGGGATTTCCTGACCCCAGGGACAGTAGAATTCAGAGTGATGTAAGGAACCAGGTAGGGCCAGAGGGCCCCGGATCATCCTGGGACACCTCAGCCAGACCTCGCGAAGTCGAATCTGAGGGACTGACAGACAGAGGTATTTTTTGTGATACTTCCAGTAGTAGTGCAAAGACATCATATGATACTTCTTACCTTCCTGCTGCTGACAGTGGGGCTGGGAAGACCCTGTACGACACTTTCGCCTTTTCTGCTGTTGCCAGTGATGCTGGCAAGACGCAGTTCGACAGTTTTTCTACCCCTATTGCTACCACCATTGGTGCTGACAAGACGGCATACGATACTTCGTTGACCGCTGGTACAAGTGCTGGGAATGCCTCCTACAATACTTTTTCTTCCGCTATCAGTAACCTAGGCAAGACGCCATACAGCATTTCTCTTAATAATTACGACGCTCTGAGCGACAAACAAAACGACAGTAATGAGCCCAGGGACGATGTCTTTGTTGACATATCTCAAAATGATAACACAGAAAATGTTGATGACAACAAACACTTCGAAAAGTCCAATAGGACATATGACAGAGTGCTCGGAGGAACTTTAAATTTTACACTGAATGATTTCGAGAGGTCTACCCAGGCTGTGAACGACATCAAACAAGGCTTGGACAACACTCACACCTCCGGGACCCGCCTCCCTCAGGTACGACACTGTAATATTATTTTATTGTATAAAGCAAGACTGCATCTCATTTATTTATTTTGCTTGATTTAAAATATATTGCAATGATAGCAATATTTTTTTATTAAAAGCAGTAAGAAGAAATAAAACAGCAATTATAATAATAATGCATTAAAAATGTAAAACTATAACATAGATAAAATAATAAGTAATGTCAATGGAGTCGGAGCAGCTGGAAGTGAGGTTCAACTCTCCTTCAGTGGTGTTCAG